TTCCTGAGAGGAGAATGGAGGAGAAGGGATTGTGGCATGGCCAACACTCTGGGGGAGTGATTTCTGGCTTTCCATCTCTCTGTCTCTCTGTCTCTCCAGTGAGCACATGTATCCTATAGCAAATATTTCTCTCTAAAATAAGGTTTGCTTGTTTTTGTGAAACTTTCAGCTCTGAAGTCATATGTCTGACTCTGATATGATTGCAGTCAACGTAATGTGGAAGAATCATGCTTCTTTCCATCTGTTGCTCCAAATATTCCACCAAATAAGCATCAGTGATTAATTGCATACATTTTTATATTCTTCTATATTCAGTTTCCAATTTAAGAAAAATAAACAGCATCTCCTTTTTCTTTGCCTAGTTTTTTCCCCCCATAGTTTTTTACCAGAGTGCTTATGCTAGCCAGAGAGAAACAGAGAAAGACAGTGAGAGGAAAACTGAGAAATCACCTCCCAGGGGATATGGCTATGCTCCAATACCTTCTCCTCCATTCTCCTCTCAGGATTTTGGGCACACATGCCTGCCATGATTTTTGGGCTGCCAGGTTTGGGACTTGAACCAGGTTGGCTATGTCAGAATCCAGCACTGTAATCACTAAGCCACCTGCCCCCCGCCTTTTCTTTTTGCCTAGCTTTAACGTATATCTCTCATCATTGTAAGCAAAAATTTAAAAATAAGAAAGATATAAAAATTAGAGTTGATTATTCTTTTCTTATAACACCCCCAAATGGATGAATGCTTATAAAGGAGGATGAAAACCTAATATGAAGAAAAACAAAGGTTACTTACTGGGTTGTCTTTTATTACACAAGATGTCCATCCTGGTAGGACCTCTTCCTCTATCTCCGACCATACAAATGAATTTCCAAAGATGTCCCCATGCATGCACTCAAAGCACATCTCCACTTGATAGCCATTATTCAGCAATAGCCTCAGCATGGTCTCATCATTTAGAGCATACTGAATGACACTGGGGAACCGTGTGTCATTCACATGCATAAAATAACAGTTGACATTAGCTCCATGGGAGAGAAGTAGTCGGACAATTTCATAGTTATTGGCTCTCACTGCCACAAGTAGACAATTGAGGGGATCGAGGTTTGGGTCTGCACCTGCAGCTAGAAGGATCTCTGTACAATGGATGTCATTATTAGAAACAGCAAAATAGAGCGCAGTCTTCCTCTCGTCATCGTAGCTCTGGGATATGTGGTCAGCCAGTGGAGTGTTCACGTCAAAACCATTTTTAATGAGCAGTTCTAGGCACTGTACATTCTGTCCATCTGCTGCCGAGTGAATTGGTGTTAGCCCACTTTTCCGAATTGCATTTTTGGATGTTACTGGGATAAGGTATTTCAGCGCACTAACAAATAAACAAATAAGTCAAATAGCCACGTGACATAAAGAAAAGCAAGATAATAAATAAAGTAACTTCCTTACTGGACAAATGAATGCTGGGTGTTTAGTTTCCCTTATTTTCTCCAGATAACTTCACACTGAAACATCTGACCTTTGTCCATCAAGCTACTACTACTGAATTTAAGGTAATTTAATTTGTTTTTTTGTTTTTTTGGGGTTTTTTTTTTGGAGAGGTTTTCGCTATAGGGCACATGCGCTCGCCAAACAGACAGAGACATAGAGACAGAAAGCGAGAAATCACCCCCCAGGGGGGATGGTCATGCCACAATCCCTTCTCTTCCATTCTCCTCTCGGGATCTTGGGCACGCACGCACACGTGCCTGGCATGAGTTCTAAACCACCAGGTCCAGGACGCGAACTGCGGTCGACTACGTGGGAGTCCAGCGATATAGCCATTACGCTAACTGCTGGTTCCTGGTTTTGATTTAGCTTTCTAGTTTAAATATTTCTGGAAAACATGCTCAGTCTCATATGTTTGATCCCAGAATTGTGGTTCCAACAGGAATCCTCCCTACCTTCTAATTCTTCTCTGAACCATACAATTTTAATAACCAATGCCGAAAGTATATGATGACATGAAAAAAAAGCTTTTTCTTGACCATCAGAGTCATGGCATCCTAAAAGTAAGAGCTGGAAGTGATCTGGGACATCATTTAGCTACATTCCTTCATTGAACAGAACAATATGAAGCTTGGAGAGGTGAAATGACTCATCCAAGGTCACACAATCAGATGCAAAGCAAGAACTAAAATGATTTAAGGTTGTAAATTTCTCATTAATGATTTTTCTTTCACTGATTCATAAACAACTTGGTCTTTAATACTGGCCATGTACATCCTGTCTTCCTTCCATATAACTTGCCATTGAATTATTACCTAAAACAAGAGTCCTCTATTATTCCTCAATCCTACCTGAGTTCAACTGAGATGAAGGGCAGCTTTGTTTCTAAGAACATGTGATAGATAGTTGTGAAATTCACCCCTGACTAACTAACTAGACATGTATGAGAGGCACAAGTAAGGATAACTTGATCTCTTGTGCCCAGCTCAGTGCTATGATGTGTGAATTTATGAATACTGGGATTAAGTCCAGACACACTCTAACATGTCACTTAGCGTCAATTAGGTGTCACTGGCAACTTAACTTAGTGGTGGACATCAAAAATGATAAAGCCTAACTCTTTCAAAGTTCTTGAACTTACATATTTAATTGCCTAAGACCATCTTTTAATGATGTGTGGTTAATACAGTCATTCTCGACTTCTACTGAAGTGTTCACTGTGGCACATTCTATGATTTAAAACTCTAATTATTACTAATAAAGGAATTTAAGCTTATAATGCAATTTCTATTTAAGAATACATTTGTCATTATACTACAATTTTCTGGGGCTGTTAGAAAATAATTGGAATAAATTGATAACATGGTTCATAGAAAATGCGTATTACAAAAAACCTATATATGGAGTTTGATTTTTTTGCAGCAAAATAAGCTCATATTTTAATTCCATTCTAAATGAACTTTTTGAAGTCTCACAGTGTTACAAATTTTAATCCTTTGTTAAGGGCAAAATTTTTAAAAAGTACAGCCTTTTAATTAAATGCATTTTTTTAACAGAAAGGCATATTTGGGCATTTTACACAGAATTCTCATTTATAACTTAATACCTTCTAAAAGAGAATTTCTTTTCATTAGAAATGTAGTAAAATTCATTTTTGTAGAAGCACAAGAATATAAAAAGAAGGGGAAGGGAGACTAAGCAAGTTTCAAACATCTAACTACTACACTTCTGGACATTTTGCCTCTTTCTTTTTTGGATTTTGGTGGGCTTTATAGAGAGAGGGATTTGTAGCTCTTCTGTATGTACAAATGTGCATTTTTTTAACTTGAAAATGATAAATGATCACCCCAGAACTGATCACTCACAGGTAGTGTCCCTCGTAGGCGGCTCGGTGTATGGGAAGATGCCCTGCTCTGTTTGGTACATTTCCGCTTCCTCCATATTCCAGCAAGAGGGAAATGCAGTCAGGATTACCACCTCCTGCTGCCTCAAACAACACCGATGCCCCATCATCCGCCAAAGCAAACACGTCACCCCCTGGCAGGATAAAGCAGGTGGCATTAACTGGACAGCATTGTTGAGATAGACCTCTGTTGTTTTTCTTTCTTATTGGGACTTAAAATATGGAATTAAGAACTTCTATGTTTGTGATAGTTTTATTAAACAGTTACGCAGCATGCTTTGTTTTGTTAGACGATTTTGGGTTAAGAAAAAGTAACAGAAACCAGCAATTTTCACAATGGATCAATACTTGCAGAAAATGGGATCCTTAGATGTTTAAATCTGAAGACAGTGGCTAGCATTCCATTTCAACTGCCCTCTATGTGCAGACACTGTGTGTGACCCTAAAATGACCGCGTATGACTAACTTAAGAAGCTTAGAGGGGAAATGAAACAGGTAGCATCAGAGAAAACAACTGTATGACACTACCGTGACCCCAAGACTAGGAGACATGAGGTAGGGGCAAAAGGTCTGTGTGTGCCTGATGGCTCTACTGCTCACAGTGAAAGGTGGGGGAAGGTGTTTACTTCTACATTCCTCCATCTCTGCATCTGTACACTCAAACAATATAGTGCACTTCACAGGACCAACTGGATAATTACATGAGGTTACATGGAGGCCCACAATAATACTAGTAGTTTCCCCAAAGAGGATCATTCTAACCTACATTTACAGAGGAGGAAACTGAGGACCAGAGGTTTAAGTAACTAGGTTAAGGTCTTCCCATGACTAGGTGGCAAAAACTAATAACCACTTTAGGAACTGGGTGTCTTTTTTTTTTTTTTTAATTGCCAGAGGAACGTGTGTGGATGTCAGAGAGAGAGAGGAAGAAAGCACCCTCTAGTAGGGAGTGGTCATGCAACAGTTCCTGTTTCCTCTATTCCACGAGGATTTGGGACTCATACATCTATGTGCCTGACATATTCTTCAAGTCACTTGGACTACAGTTTGAATTGCAATTAGCCATGTGGCATCCAGTTTCCTTAACTGCTGAGCTACTGGGACAGCCCAATAATTTGGTCTCTTTATTCCAGGTTTTCTAGTTAAATAAAGTGCTTGGAAGACTTAAAAGAGGGTAATATTGCAGTCCAATGGGGAGAACAAGGAAAAGATTTAGGTAAGAAATAGATGTCTCAAGAGATTGATTTTGAATTGTACTGGAAGGTATTCCAGCTGAGGACAAGAATCTGTCCCAAACTTAGGCAGAGGAAGTGCCAGGTTAGTTTGGGAATCCTGCCAGTCTATGTCAGCTACAGCACAGGGCACGAGATGGAACCTGTCGGGGATAACGTGGAAAGCCCACTCAGAATGATGCAATAGGGATTTTAAAAAATAGTTTACACTATTTTAGCTGTTCCTTAGGGAGAGGAACTAATTTTCAGGATGCAATATATATTCTCTGATGAGGACACTGGAATTTGGAGAATGGTTAGGAAATGACTGGACTGGTCCAGGGAAGATGTGAAGGGCATAACTAGGATGCCAGATGGATTTCAAAGGTGAGGACAAGAGAAACATTATACGACTTTGTAACTGATTGAATTTGTGAAAGAAGGTCATGGAGGAACTAGAGCATATTCAACCTTTCAGTTCTAATTGAAAAACATTATTACATCAGAAAGTGGGGGGAAAAATAATTCATTTTGGGAAATGAGTGTGAGACATCCATAGGAAAACTGGGCCACCTCTAGAGAGAGCAATCAGGGCTGGGCTTGTAGATTTGTAGGTCACAATGTATTACTTGAGCTGTAGATTAGGGGTCTAGTGAGAGGGCTGGTTACCAAAACCTGATGCCCAGCTACATTCAGGGGAGAAACAGGAGCCAGTGAAGAATGGAAAAGAAAGAACCCAAGAGGCAGGAAAAAAGTCAGGAAAGTCAGGGCCTGAGTGGTGGCACAGCAGTGAAACACATACTCTGAGAGGCTAACCCATCTGGGAAGGTTCTTGGTTCATGTCTAGAGACCTCCCTGAGTACTCTGGGTACACTCATGCCCATGATCTGTGGGTGGCTGAAGCTGGGGGTGGAACACAGTGTTAAGACCCTGTAGGGGGTGCTAGTCTCCTAGAAGAAATATTAATAAATAAATAAACCTATGAAATAATTACTATTAATGACAACAAGAAGTCAGGAAAGTGTAACTCTTTTCACATACCTTTGTGGATTAGATGTTCTAAGACATCACAGTGACCATACTCGGCGGCAACACCTAGAGGTGTGACTCCAAATCCATCTCTCAGGTGGACGTTGCCTCCGTGCCTCAGAAGCAGAGCTATGATATCTTTTCGGCCTTGCTTGGCTGCTTCGTGCATTGCTGACCATCGCTTGACACAGGGCTGGTCGAGGATAGTATTATGTTTAACCAGAGCAGATACCATGTCATAGGAGCCTTTTTTTATAGCTTGAAAATAATTTTAAAACAGAACAGCCAACAGGAGGCATATTAGCATGAATACTTTAGATGGTATCAAACTACCCAACTGAACATAAAAATAGATACTTGTTATTACTTTTTCTTCTAGAAGGGGATATTATATTTTTCATATCCATATTTCTATTTGTGAGTATAAGTGTGCAAGATGAAACTATATATATATTTTTAAGACTCAGAGTAGGGACCACCAGGTGGCATAATAGTTAAGTCACTAGACTCCCATGTGGTTGACTGCAGTTCAAGTCCTGGACCCGGTGGCTTGAAACTCACACTGGGCACGTGTGCATGTGTGCCCAAAATTCTGAGCAGAGAATGAAGGAGAAGGGATGGCGGCATGGCCATCCCTCTGGGGGTGATTTCTCACTTTCTCTTTTTCTGTCTTTCTCAGTCTCCCTGGCAAGCACATGCACCCTATAGCAAAAATATCTCTCCCTCTCAAAAAAAAAAAAAAAGAAAAAGAAAAAGACCCAGAGTAGAAGTAAGAATTTCATGGAAGATAGCACCCATCACCTATATACTTCTAAACTTTCTCTCTTTCTTTCTTTTTTTTTTTTTTTTTCTGAGAGATTTTTTTGCTATAGGACATGCACATGCACTGGAGATAAAGAGACAGAGGAGAGACAGAAAGTAAGAAATCACTCCCCAGTGGGGATGGCCATAGTGCAATCCCTCCTCCTCCATTCTCCTCTTGAGATTTTGGGAATGCACACACATGCACTTGGTGTGAAGCTGCTGGATCCAGAATTTGAACTGTGGTCGACTATGTGGGAGTCCAGCAATGTAACCTTTCTCCATCTGCTGGTCCCTAAACTTTAATCTCTTTCTGACAAAATGGAAATAACATCTTCTATCATGTTACATAAATTAAATAATGTATGTAAAAAGTTCAGTATAGTACCCAGAATATAATAAGAGCTCAACAAATAATTATTATTTAATATTGTTTTTATCATTCCTAGGACCCTAGAGACCCAATTATAAACAATGTTTATTGTTATCTTCCATAGAAATAGGTGTTTTGGGGGCTGGCATGTGGCATGGTGCTAAAGTCATTGGACTCTCACATGGTCAACCATGGTTCGAGACCCAGACCTGGCGGCTTGCTCTCTCTCCTCTCTCTCTCTAGTCAAAATTGAAAATAATGATAAGAAATAAATAATTCATTTTTTAAAAAACAAATAGGTGTTTTCTTTCTACCAAAAATAACAGTAGATATTATATAAAATTCTCTTTCTTATACTTTTTTTTTTTTTGTCTTTTAGTTTTTGTTTCAGGGCATGTGCATACATCAGGGGTGGAGGAGGAGAGAGAATTCATCCCCTCCCCTGGGGGTGATGACCACGCTGTTGTCCTTTCTCCTTGGGGTTTGGGCACCCATACACATGAGCCTGGTATATTTTCAAGCTACCATATCTGCGACTCAAACCACGTAGTCGGCCACGTGGGATCCAACAGCCTTAATGTCTATGCTACCTGCTGGCCCTCTATCATATACATTTAATGGAAGGTTATTAATAGAACTGTTTAGAATCCAGGTGGTTCAGCTGCTCTAAATGGATAAAGCATGTGACAGCTAATGTACCACGATGAAATAACTTCACTAAGGCAGATGTCGTTCTCCTCTGCTCAGCTCTAATAGCTGAAATTACAGTTAGAAGTTTTCTCGTTTTTTTTTCTTTTGAAATTTTAAGATTGTCTCCATTTTGATGTAAATACCTCTGAAAGATGTAACGTTTTTTTTTCTATTAATAAGTAAAATTTTAATAAGAAATAAATTAGTATATTCACTCATTCAACTATTCAGTCAGTCATGAATAAGTATGTGCTAGCTATGGGAAAGTCTCTGTGTTAGGCACTGTGGACCGCAGGTGAAATTTACACTTTAGAGAGGAAGCCTGTCCTGACTCGTATTAGAAGGGGGACTCAAAATCTGGGCGTTGGCTGTGAAAGGCAGGAAGAGATCGAGGCCATACAGAATGTTCTGAGCAGCCAGGAGGCAAAACGCAGAAAGGATCTAGAGCCAAGGAGGGAGCAATGGCTCCAAATGGCATAATAAGAGGATGAAGACAAACTTCGCCCACTTCACTTGAAGACCAGCAAAACATTGCTGCAGTGAGATTCCGGTTTTTCTCTGGCTCACTGTCTAAAGTAGGAACTGTGACAAGTGCTCTCTCTGAACTGCCCATCTGCCGCCGGCAGCTCTAATTACGGTGAATTACCTCATTGTAGCTGGTGTTATTACAAAACAAAACATTCAGCAACTAAACCAACCAAGAGAACCAAGAGAAATGTGCCCTCATTTATCTTCTTGCTCCTACTATAGATTTTTATAATTCGAAAAAACATTTTAAAATAATAAATGCTTTCCCTCGTGATTTGTTTGTTTGTTTGTTTGTTTTTTGGTCTGACTCAGAGAACATATTGATTAGTCCTACTAGTCTTTCTTCATAGAAATGATAGCTCAAATAGGCCATCTTCAATTAAAAATAACTTTTACATATCAAAACTTTATTTCTAATTTAATTTTTTTGGAACTTACATTGTATTTCCCATGTAAATAATAATGCAAATGGTGGGTAACCCCTCCCCAGCTAACCCATATAGACATTTTTAACCAGTAAATGACAAAATAATCAAAATTCATAAGGCAGAGTATTGCTGTAACATAACTGATGATGTGAAATAATTTTTTTTTAATTTCCCAAAGTTACATACACATACTGGAGAAAGAAAGAGAGAGAGAGAGAGAGAGAGAGAGAGAGCGTTCCACATAGGTGATGGCCATGCCCCAATCCCTTCTCCTCCATTTCTCCCTCTTTTCAGGATTTTGGGCATGTACACATGCCTAGTATGTTTTTCAAGCCATTAGATCTAGGACTTAAACAGCAGGTTGGCCATATAGAACCCAGCTGCCTTAACCAACATGAAACTAGCTGGCCCTGGGAAATAAGATTTAAAAATACCTCAAGTTTTATACATATGAGCGGGCTTTAAAAGTTCATGGAAAAATGAAAGTTTGAGTTTATTTTGTTGCAAACATTTTTTAAATTCATGCATGATTTCTTCATATTGCACATTTTCCATGAACTCTTTGAAGACCCCTTATATAAGTTTTTTTTCAATTTAAAAATTGAATTTAAATTTAAATTTAAATTCTAGAAAATCTAGAATTTAGAACTCTGTAGAATTTCTTCAAAAAATTTTAAATGTTTTAATTTTTAAATTTGTATCTTTAATAGTTATGCTTAAAGAAAACCAAATTTAAGTTGAAGAGTTGAGGGAATTAGATGAACAATTCCGCATAGGTTATAGGCACTTTTGAACATGTTATAGTTGGCTGGAAACATTTCCTTTTTATTTTAAATTTGTCATTTTGATTCTTTTTCTGGATATATGTGTTATGCTTATGTCATTTACTTATCAGATATGATTGATTTTCTGATCCATAAAACATACAGAAAAGAAAGATTTTTCTGAGCTTTCTTGACAAGAAATGAATGTAAGATTGAAAGAGGAGATGGAGTGAAGAGGATTGGTATTGATTTATGGGGAAGGAAATGTCTGAAGCGAAGTGAACTGATTTGTAATGGCGTCAGGTCATGGGGATGGAGGTCAGTGGAGCTGAGGCACTCTGCCGGACAGGCCCCTGGATCTCCTCCCTACTCTGGGCTCCACTGGCCAGGATAAGCTGTGGCTGTCTAACTGGGGAAAGATGACACCAAGTCCAGGGGGTGGGCAGAGAGGGGGTCCAAGTGCAAAGACCCTTCCTTAGTATCAGATATCCGTCACTCAGCAAGTAACTGCAACTTGACTGCAATTCATCAAAGTCTGGTAAATAAGGACCAGATAGATAGCTGACAGGGAAGAAGGGTCCCAGGGGACCCTCTTTTTTGGGTCATCTAAAGATAGCCCATAAATAGAGACAAAGATGATGGTATCAGGTAAAAAATAATAAATAAATAAATAAAGGTTCTCTACAGAAAAAAAGAACAATATCTCTTTTTCTCTTATCTTTCCTCTACCAGTTACTGACCTGTGAGTAGCACATTTCAGAGCAGTCCATGGATTCAAGACTAAAACTGAGGAAGTGCCACAGAAGATCTGCCACAGAAGATCCATTTTTTTTTTTTCTACAGAACCTAAAAAAGGCTTGACAACTAAGGTCCTGGAGAAGGCAACCGGAGAGAAGTCCCTCTTCTCCCAATGTGTGACTGATGGGGAAGTAAGTGAACAACTCCAGAATATTTCCTTCATGGACACTCGTCCTCTCTTTGAGATTACCATTAGTTTTTAAAGTATGTTAATTCTGTTTCAACTCTGAGAGCTCAGCGATTGAGGTTCTTTCCCATTCTTTCCGTATTGCTAAGAGGAGAATTAAACTGGTTTATGGATCTTTTAAATGCATAGAAGTGCTTCATACTCTGTTGTGGGCATTAAGCATTGAAGAAAAACAAATGAACCTTAAAAACAAAATGAGTACTAATCCTGACTTTTCTTTCTTTTTTTTTAAGAGGATTTTTTTTTGTTATAGAACGTGTGTGCTTGCCAGAAAGACAAAGAGAGACAGAGAGACAGAAAGCGAGATCACTACCCATGGGGGGATGGCCATACCACAATCCCTTCTCCTTTACTCTCCTCCCAGGATCTTAGGCATGAACAAACATGTGCCCAGCATGAGTTTAAGTCGCCAGATTCAGGACTCAAACTGCAGTCAACTATGTGGGAGTTCAGCGATATAACCGATATGCCATTTGCTGATCCAACTTAGTTGTCTTTTAAGAAATAGGTGGATTAAGAATAGCAAATGGAGGATGATGCTACATTTGCAAAGTGAAGTAGCATACAATCCTGACAAGATGTCTTTTTTTTTTTTCTTTTTTCTTTTAGTAATCAAAGGCTATCTATAGAAAAAAAAACATGGATATTTTTGCAATTACTCTATGGTATACACTGATTTTTTTAAAAAAATACTAATCACGTTGATAGTGAAGTAATTCACAGGTGCATTTGTCATTTAGTGTCTGTAGATCCTGCTCAGGAAAACAGTTCTGGTTTATTCATGAAATGCACTGTCATTGTGACAGAAAGGCTGGTTATCATTTTTGTTCCTTATTTTTCTTGCAATTCTTCTTTTAGCAAATGAAGCCCTCAAGTGGTAAGTGGTCATAGGCTATTGAGGTAGAGACTATATATCCCAGCCTCCTGTGTGGGGCCTTGGGTGACGAATTCTGAACTAATGAGAGATGAATAGAAGTACTGTGTGCAGTGTCTTGATCTCCCTTAAAGTAAAGATGCTTTCCCAGGACTGCCTCTTCCTTCCTCCTGCTGTCTGAGAATGAGGATATTCGGGCCAACCTGAGAAGACTTGGTAATGGTGGCAAAGCCACCAGGTCCACCGTGGGCCACTCACCTCTGAAATGTGAGAGAAACAACTTCTTTCTTTCTAAGTCATGGTTTGCTTGCTTTTTGTGTCTGCTTTTTGTTGTAGTTGTGGTTGCAGAAGCTCTTCCTGTACCTTAACCATAATGACTAGATTGTTTATCCAATCTAAGCTGAATTTGGGAAGACTGAAAGTTCTGACATAGGGCAAGAGTAAGGGAGAAGGAATAGGACTAGAATAACCCACGCTGTGGTGACTCCCTTCATTGAATAACTGGTCTTTCCCTCCCTGTCTGCCATTGGCCCTGTCTACATCCTGTAAGATAACACCAGAGCCAGGCTCTCCGAGAGCTTCACAGATTCACTGCTTTATTATTCTCTTGATTTTTTTTTGAACATACATTTTTATTATCGCATTTAGAACATTAATTTTCCATTTAGATCAGATCCAGCTCTCCCACACTAAACCTTTTGAGAGAAGGAAGATGAATTTCACCCTTACAGCCATGCTGCCCAGCATGGCATCTGGCTTCATGTGACTTCTCAATAAATGTTTGCTGCATTGATGTTGCACTGATGCTATCAGATGTAAATGTTTTACTAATGTTATAACTTTTCTAAATTTTAATACGTGGTTTCATTTTGTTTTGTTATAAGGTGAGTGTGCTTCTTGGAGAGAGACATCGAGAGAGAGGGGAAATGAGAAAGCACTCCCCCAGGGAGGATGGCCATGCCACACTTCCTTCTCTATTCTCCTCTTGGGATTTTGAGCATACATGCATGTTTATTCAATTCACCAGGTCCTGGACCTGAACCAAGCAGTTGGCCATGCGGGACCTAGCTGCCTTAACTACCACACCACCAGCCAGTCCTACTCAGGTTGTTTTAAAAATTCTGGTGAAACTTTGGTGAATGGAAGCTACAGTGGTGCTTAAGGTGCTATGATCACAGTTTATGATGCTTCATCCTCTTCCTCCATGAGGAAGAGCCTCTTTCCTCTGCCACATTAGACAGTTTCACAACTGCTCTCTTCTCTACAGCATCTGTCATGTGTAAGGGGTATTATATATATTTTCTCTGATTTTTGTAACAATTACACATAGCAGATGCTGTATTTCTATTTTACACATGAGAAAATGAAGGCTCATGATTGTGATCTTAGAGCTAAGCTTTAAATCTACAGATAGCAAGTGTCAAGCCCAACTTCTTACTCCATTGCCCTACTTCCCTAAGAGAAAGGGTCATTGTACTTAATCTCACTTGTCTCTGCCTCTACAAACAGACGTGCTAAACAAATATCAGGATATATGAGACTGAGAAGAAATCAATAAATGATACCTTCAGATTTACCAGCCTTCCACTGTTGTGTCACAGTGTGAATCCCCTTACAGGTACCAAGCTCTGCAACTGTGTGCTCAGAATCTGCTGCCTCCAGTTTCTTCCAGTTTGGCCTTATGGATCTGATGTGGGCCTGATGTTTCTCTTTAGAATCCTTTTTCTACCTCTATATTCTGTCTACAGCCTTACAGCTGGACCTGACCTAGAAAATGTTGATTTAGAATTGGCACTTCTGGCCTCATTAAACTAGGTCACATCTCTCCTGGCTGGTTGCACTTGCCATAACTGGGTGCTGAAGGATGTAGCCTTCTTTTACATTTGACTTCTTTGTGGGATAGGAAAACAAGGATAGGAAACCACAGGACAGGTAAGTGAGTAGTTGGAGTAGGAGTTCGGAGGATGGGAGGAACTTTGGTCACATCATTTTAGCTAATACACTGTGCTTTTTGAAAAATACTGACAAAATATTCTTTATTCCAAACTATAAATATTCTAGAAAAGAGGTCACTTACCAATCAGAAGAGGTGTTTCTCCTTTGTCATTTTTGGTGTTGGGCCATACTCCCTTTTCTAGTAAAGTTCTTACATTTTCCACCAGACCGGCTTTGACTGCCAAAGTCAAGGGTGTTTCTCCATCACAGGTCTTGAATTCCCAGAGTGTCTTATAGGAGGCTGAGTGGCAAAATCATTGTTTAAAAAGTTAAAAATATTTACTTAAAGGATATCATGTAGATCAGAATAATAGTCCAATATTATGTACATCGGGTTGAACAAGTCAATCTATTTTAAAAAGGGAAGACTAAAAAGAGTACACATGGACTCACTGACTAAATACACAGCTAGAAAACCAACATCTATGGGGACCAGCAGATGGCATAATGGTTATGTCACTGGACTCCCTTGTAGTAAGACTGTGGTTTGAGTCCCAGACCTGGCAACTTAAAATTCATGCTAGGCACATGTGCGTGCATGCCCAAGATCCCAAGAGAATGGAGAAGAAGGGACTGTAGCATGGCCCTCCCCCTGGAGGGGGTGACTTCTCGCTTTCTGTTCTCTTTCTCTCTCTATGGCAAGCACATATGCCCTATAGCTAAAAAAAAACAAAACTAAACAAAAAAACTCTTTAAAATTTTAAAAAAAAGAAAATCAATATCTACATTTCAAGCTGCTTTTTAATTTTTTAAATAAGAAATTCTCATTTTTTGATATACTGTAAAGCAGCTATCCAATCTTTTATATTATGATTTAAATTCATCTAGAATTGTTTTGTCAAATGGTGTCTGTGAATGTAAGAGTGAGAATATGTTTCAATAAATGTATACCTATGTCAGAATGTGTTATAAAAGAAATATCACCTTTAACATCTATGTGTCTGTTTGGCTGTCTAGTTTTCTAGCTGGCTGGCTTTTAGCTAATTATGAAGTATGTATCACTATCTCCTAGAACAACTAGTGAGTAACACTGAAAATCAAAAGGAAGGACACTCTCAAAGTGTGTGATAAGCTGCTGAGGTGTGAAAAACTCTGATAGAACATTGAAATTATTATTAATGTTTAACACTGGGCTGATTTACTGTAATATTTGTTAAAACATTATAAAAAATCAACATACTATAAGGACAAATATTATAAGTACTACTAGTTAACTCTTTTTTGGAAACTGATAACTCAAGATAATTCAAGATGAAAAATTAAAAATTGATTTCCAGGGCTAGACCTGTGGCCTAGTGGCTATGGGAGCTAGATCCCACATAACCACCCATAGTGTGAATCCTAGCCCTGGTGGCTTGAAGAACATGCTAAGCATGTATGCATGTCCAAAGTCCCAAAACGATGAAGAAATGGAGGAGAAGGGATTGGCATGACCATACTCCACTGGGAGGTGTTTCCTTCTTCTCCCTTTCTCTATCCCTCTGTGGTGAGTGCACATGCATTCCCTCTGGCAATTTAAAGAAAAAAACTGACTTCTAAAAGAAAATGGCCTTGCATTTTAACCAATTATTAAATCATCAGAAAAGCCATGGTGTATTTTTGCACAGAAAAATAGAAAAATACATCATGACTTTTACAATGTCCCAATGATTTAGAATATGTACTAAATTTTATGGATTTTATGTTTCCATAAACCTTTCTTAGAGAAAGAAATGCAAAGATGAACCCTGAACATCACAAAATGTTCTACTTTTTATCTTCAGTGCTTACAATGAGGATATTTGTTTTATCAAATTTCAATTCATCTTTTTTGTTTTATAATTGCTAGTGGATATGCATGCCTGTGCATGCATGTTTTTACTGGAAACATTCATAACTTCTACATTCTTGGTCTGGACCTTGGGTTTGATCAAAGGGGGTTTATGTTCTCTTACCATCCAGAACAATCTCAAGTATTTGTTGAATGGGTTGAACAACAGCTTCATGCAGTGGAAACCATCCTTTTTCATCAGCTTCATCCAATGCATATTTATATTTCACATACTCCTGGAGTTCAAGAATGTGACCTAAATTAAACACATGATCCGATAATAAATCTGTGTTTTGGCAAGGTGGAATCTGCAATACATTCCACTGTCAATACACCCCTTTACCTTGTTTTATGGCCTCAACAAGTTTTCTGTTTTGATCACTTAGGGGTACAAATCTACCAGAGAAAGAAAAATAAGCCATATTTATACTAACAATATACTTTAAGAAATGAAAAATTTTAATTTACATGAATTTTTGTACATAATTTCAATAATCAAGGGCCACAAAAAATGTACACCGTTGATTGTATCTTCTTTAAAAATGTAAATCTAGGAGTCAGATGTAGAACATGTTGACGATTTACTGGGTCAGAGAATATCAGTGAAGAGGACAAAACACAAGATGACAATGCTGTCTTTGAGGTACCCTAAGGAATGACAAAGGCATAAACAATTGAAGTCAGAGTCTGAAATGTTGGGTTGGGTCACATCCTGATTTGGGGATCTTGGGAGGCTAATTAGCCTCTCTAGGTGTTAGTTTCATCAGCTATAAAATGATGAGATTAAACAAGAAGATCTCTAAGGCTTCTTCCAACTTGAAAAGCTCTATGCTCAATATATGTTTGGTGCTTTGAATTTAAGAATTGCTAATTAGATACTTAGGAGTTTTTGGCCCACACTGCAGGTTAGAGTCTTTAATCAACTGATCCACAAGTGAAAACAGGCAGAGCATTTACTAAATAAACTCTCAATCACGGGTTCAGCTCAATCACCCTCATGGTGATTATTCAGTATGTGCGCTTATTAAATGGAAACAAGGCATTTCATGACAAATTTATTTTACTCCATTATGCAGAAAAGTCTGCTAGCATTCCAGGGATACAAATACTTGCCATAGAATGCTAAAGTTTCTAAAATCTGTGAAAGATAAGGGAAAAACCTAAAAGACTACAAATCTAAATGTAGTATGTTCCTTTTTTTTTTTTTTTTTTTTGAGATTTTCGCTATAGGGTGCGTGCGCTCACCAGATAGACAGAGAGAGACATAGAGACAGAAAGCGAGAAATCACCCCCCAGGGGGTATGGTCACACCGGAATCCCTTCTCTTCCATTCTCCTCTCGGGATCTTGGGCACGCACGCACGCCCACGCGCCCGGCGTGAGTTTTAAGCCACCGGGTCCGGGACGCAAACCACAGTCAACTACGTGGGAGTCCAGCGACATAGCCATTACGCTAACTGCTGGTTCCCTAGTATGTTCATTTTTAAGAGCTCAGAAGAAATAATTTTGCAGCACTGAATCTATTCAAATCATTACTAAATCCCCAACTACAAGATTCTAAACACTATAATAGAATGTAAGCTAAAAGTTTATTTTTGTCAGAAGTATAATGTGTTATGTTCAAGAAGGAAATTTACTTTTGCAGTTTTGTCTGCTTACACAGCACATCATCAATTTTACATATATTTTAACTTGTTAACTCTTGTTATTTGGATAGTAGATAATTAAATAGGTAGTGGTTTATATATTTGATTTATATCACAAAAGCTTATAAAACTTCCCATCATTGAGCTTATGGATTAGGTGGGTTAGAATTGTTTTCATATTTTAAAGATGCAAAAATGGGATGTGTTGGTTATAAAGTGTTAGCTACATCAGTAGCAGCACAGGATTTAGAACATGCAGACATCAATATACTTGACTATGCATTGATTGTATAAACTGTACTTGTGAATTTGTTCAAACCACTCATTGTCCTTTTTGACCACATTAATTTAGAAAACAGGTTATAGGCAATCCTATACAAAAAATAATTCAATAGGATAATACCATGTAATTATTTTCATTTTCCACATGAGGAAAAAATTCAGTAGGATATTTCCATGTAATTATTTTCATTTTCCACATGAGGTAGAGTTTTATGGAAGATCAGATATTGCTAAAACCTATGCACAGTGGCCACTGTAAAGCCAATATAGTCTTTACCATCATAAGCATTTTCCCAAACAGGAAAATAATAGTTATAAAGAAACATTGAGGACAGTCTGTTTGAATGTCACCTTTCAGGATAAAACACAGTCTTGCTGGATTCAATAGATTCTTCAATACTGAGTTGAATATCATAACTTGTAAGATGGTCTTCATCAAGGTCATCATTGGTATCCATGCCTGGATATAAAAGACAATTTCTTATTGTCAGTAAATTACATAGAACAGAGTGTATAAAGTTAACATGAAAAATGCAAAAGGAAAACTAAATGCATTTACCTTTTGCTATCTAACAAATACAAATGAAATTAACATTTTAATCCATGTTATATATGATGTCACTTTTATTAACTTAAAGTGATCTATTATTTTTTTTTAGAGGTTTTTGCTATAGGGTGCATGCACTCACCAGAAAGAGAGAGACAGAAAGACAGAAAGTGAGAAATTACCCCCTGGGGGGATGGCCACAACACAATCCCTTCTCCTCCATTCTCCTCTCAGGATCTTGGGCGAGCACGCATATGTGCCTGGCGTGAGTTTAAGCTGACTCAAACCGCAGTCGACTACATGGGAGTCCAGTGACATAGCCATTAAGCCAACTGCTCGTCCCATAACTTAAAATGTTCTGTTGAAATCCTTAATTACCTGCCCTCTTGGTATCTGCATTTCTAACTTTTCACTAATAACTGCATCTGACCTAAAAATTTTTCCAAGCTTCTGATTTGAACAAATTTTGGCCCATCACTTTTCTAGACAATGCTATACACAGCACATTAGAAGCTTAAAACTCAACCCAAGGAGGAGAAGTGGAACGGAGGCAGTAACAGAGAATAGTGATCCTTTTAAATACTTTATACTAGCAATGGTCAGTTGTAAGGTCTCACTGGTCTCCAAGCACCATTTGAACCATTGAGATAAGGACCATATGATTCCAGCTAGAGACCAGTGACCAGCACTCCTGTAGATTCCCCATGTCTTACCCTACACAGTGCTGTTATAAGCCACTGCATCTGACTGGTCTATCTCCCCTGAAGATAATATACAAACAAGTAAATAATTCCTCATTAGTTTATTTCTTCCACATAGAAATCAACTAGAAATCTAGTTTGTTAGAAATCTCTCTTCTTACTATTGTATCAATTGCTTTAACTTATTTAGGAAGAGAATTTAAGAAATGCAGAAATCAAAATAGTCCTAAACTGGGTTGGCTGATCAATATAAATTATCTTTGATAAAGCCAAAATGTATTGTCTCTATAAAATTTTACATCATATTATGTCTTTTCAAACAGAGAAAAACAAGGGTCTGGCAGGTAGCATGATAGTTAAGGTACTGGACTCCTACATGGCTGACCATAGAATGAGTCCCAGAGCTTACTTTCTCACTTTCTCTCTCTCTCTCTCTCTCTCTCAATCTGTGTGTGTGTGTGTGTGTTTGTGTGTGTGTGTGTGTGTCTGACCAAATTTAAAAATAACTATAATTGGGACCAGCATATGGCATAATGGTTATATCGCTGGACTCCCATGTAGTCGACTGCAGTTCAAGTCCTAGACCCGGTAGCTTAAAACTCATGCCAGGCATGTGTGTGTGCATGTCCAAAATCCTGAGAGGAGAATGGAGAAGGGATTGTGGCATGGCCATCCCCTTACTTCCGGTGAATGATTTCTTGCTTTCTGGCTCTCTCTGTCTCTCCGGCGAGTGTACGTTCCCTACCACAGAAATTTCTCTAAAAAATAAATAAATAAAATAATAAT